TAAATTTCTTCAGTCTGGAGTCACTTTGTTCACCAGGAACAGGACAGCCACATCGCCTCTGGACGCCTTCCTACCTGTCATCCTGGAGAGACCAGGGGGTGCTGCATTCGGACCTGAGACAGTCACAGTGTTCTGTGTGGGCACAAAGGTGATGTGGGTAGACTCATGGAAGGGGCACCCTGTGGCCGAGACTGTTGGGTATAAACAAATTCAGTTCCTTTTCTCCCTGGGCCCATGGACCCGGGACCTATCAACCCTGGCAAGCAAGTAGGGCCTTGCTGAGTTCCAGCTGGTGGACTCGGAGCACAAGGGAGGTGGCCTTCTTTCCAGGAAACGGCACCCTGGGCGAAGCTCTGTTGTCTTAGTCATTCTTTTTTTCTTTCTTTTCTTTTTTTTTTTTTGAGACAGGCTTTCTCTGGGTAGCTCTGGCTGTCCTGGAACTCGCTCTGTTTATCAGGCTGGCCTTGCTCAGAGAATTCCTCTGCCCCCCCCAACCCCACCAAGTGCTGGGATTAAAGACACGTGCCACGTGCCGCTACACCCTGATTCTCTTTCTTTGATTTTTAAAATTACACTTGTTTATTTCTGTGTGTGGAGGGAGAAGAATACATATGCTATGGATCGTATGTGGGGGTCAGAGGACAACATGCTGGGGTCAGCACTGTCCTACTATGTGGACTATGGGGATCAAACTCAGGTGGTCTGCCTTGGCGGCAAGTGCCTTTCCCCAGGGAATCATCTCTACAGCCCATGGCATTCCGTTAGAGAGCTCAGGGCTCTTCTAGCAGATGCTGGTCTCTGCATTGGCAACCTGCCATTTGCCCCACGGTGTTTCTAGTTGGAAAGCAGCAGCTCCATTGTGGACGCAGGATTATTTTAGTACCCAGACCTGGCCCATGGCCCCTTTCCTTCTTCATTTCCCCTCTTACGTTTTCTGTCATCTCAGCGCTCACCCCATCCCTGATCCTGGTGAATCAAGCACACCCTGAAGGTAGACCTGCCAAATTCCTATAATCAGGTTCAGGCCAGCAGCAGCACTTCCCAGAAGCCTTTGGTCCTTCCCCATGTGTTTGTCATCCCCCCCACCCCCACCATGCCAGCCTGCAGCAGGCACCACATATTCCGGTGACACCAGTGTCTGGCCTCACCATGCCTCGATGCTGTCTGGGTGCCATCATGGAGAGTAAACCCCAGAATCATGCTGAGGGACATGTGTGGCACTCAGCACGGCCCACTTACTGGCATGGAGAGGGACTCCGGAGGTAGTGGGCCTGCACAGCTCTCACATCGGCTTCATCCTCCTCGTTTGGAACTACCTGCTCCTCCTCTGGGGCTCCACCGGTCGCCATGATAGCCTTCAGCCTTGGCCTGTTTGACAGGGAAAGATTGGCTAGGGAATTCCAGAGGCTTTGTTGGGGGAGGGGGTGTGTCGCCAATGTCACCTTGGTGGACTGGGTGAGGGGAGGGTACTGCATGCTACTATCCCAGCAGGTAAAGGACCCACAGGAAAACCAATAAGATGGAGCTCAGCTATCATTAGCAGGACACCATGAAGTGACACAATATTTTAGAAGTGCAACTTGCCTCCTTTTTTATAGAAGTACCAGGGAAGTAGAGAGGGAAGCCAAAGTTTATCTTAACTGTAATGCAGGAGATTAAAAGACAATGAATTTTCCAGACTAAAAGGACACTCATAGACCCCCTTCCAACCACATGAATGTGCACACCCTTTATTTTTACTATAAGGGACAGCAGGCCCCCTTCAGTGACACTGTGTCAGTCGAGGCCTTGGGCAGAGGTACTATCCCCACAACCTATTACGGCACAAAAAGTCCCTGACGTCCCAGCTATGGCTGTGGCCTGACACTCAGGGCAGACTGGCACCCACTTAAATCTAAGTCCCAGCTCACCACAGCAGACTGGAGAGGATGAACACTCACCTCTGACTGGTGTGTCCACACCGAGGGCCAAGGACCCCAGGAAAATGCCCAGAAGCTCCAGCTAGAGAGGGACCAAGCTTTCTCTCTTCAGGAGGGCTCCTCTGAGGGACAGCTGTTAGCAAGAAACCTTAGCTAGTCTCTAAATTTAGCCTCTGGCCCCATTGGGTGGCCACTCACAGGGAGGAAGGAATGCAGGCTTCACTTAACCCCTTCCCTCCTGGCTGATTCTCAGACACTGAAGTTTAGCAGTGGATGGAAGGACCTAAAGAAAACGTGTCTCCTCCCCGCCGGAGGCTGCCCATTCAAAGCTCATCCTGAAAATCAGCACATCTGTAATAACAAACTTTCCTTGGCTTCACGGCATCTAGAAGAGGTCCAGGAATGAAAAATGCCAGTTATACAGAACAGACTAGTCCTTGATAGACAGGTGTGGGGAGAGCACCATGGTATGTTTAAAGAGAGGTCACAGCTTACAACCGACCTGACATTTTTAACAGAAATGTGTAAGGATCATACAGTGGGCAAGTTGTACCCCCTTCACATCTTTGCCTCAACATTCATGGCCCTTGGTTGTAACTAGGGGCAACATAAAAATCTTGAGAGCTTCATAAACCCACCCTATCTCATGACACTCCTGCTACCACCCCTACCGTCCCCAGTAACCCAACATTTGACCCTCGCATCCTAGACGCCCCAAGACTCCGCGTCCTTCCATTCATCTGTCTTCAGGTTTCCAGAGGTCTCCAGTTCAACCTTGCCACATTCTGTGATCACACTTTTTGTTCTTTTATGATAAATATGTTGATGGAAAGCCCCTGGCGGCTCACGGAGTCCGGCATGGATGGCCGTGAGTCCCTGCAGTGCCATGCAGCCGGGGAGTCAGGCAGGCGGTTACGGCGGATAAAAGGCTCATAGGACATAGTATTATTTAAAAAAGAGGGAGACATTTATTGCTTAAAGAAGAGAAAACAGAGAGAAAACAAAGACACAGGTACATACGAGACGAAACAAACACACATATGCACACGCACGCATACACACACACACACACACACACATACACACCAGAGAGAGAGAGAGAGAGAGAGAGGAAGATGGCGGCGAGGGGAGGGGTCAAAAGTGGCTGGGATGGGCGTGGTTAGCTCTTAAAGTGAGCCAATGGAATAACAACACCTTCATCCGTACATCTTCCCGTCTATCTCCACGTTTGTAGACGTTTACTAATTACCTCCTACGCCCCTGGCCCTGTACTAGACTGAACTAGTTAGACACATAGGGCAAAGCATCCCGTCTTTCTAGCTAGATGGAACGGTCCCCATTTAGCTAGACCCCATCTAACGACATTGGCTGGATGAATGAATGAGCTCACAGTTTATTAGGAGGCTTGAGACACGGACTAAATATAACTGAAGTGTAAGGTAGAGTGTAGTTCTGGGTCTACAAGAAACTTGGAACGCTGCACTGAGCCATAGGAAAGAGCAAAGCCCTCCAGAACTGGGAAGGCAGCAAAGGCGTCGTGGGGGAAGCGATGTGTGAGCAGGCGTTTAAAGGATGAGGTAGATGAAATATAACCCATGTAACAGTGGCGAGGAACTGCAGAGAATGCAGCTCACAGTTCTGGGGCAGGGAAGAATGAGCTGTGCTCTAAAGAAATGTCCAAAGACAGTCAGAACAGAGGTTACACACTCAGAAGGCAATTCTTGGAAGGGAGGGAATGTTGAAGAATGAATCCTACCACACCTGAAAGAACAGTTTGAGGAGCAGATAGATGTTCATTTGTTAAGTTTTGTGGAGTTAGCAATAGGGCCAGAACAGAGACCCCGTGTCAGAGGGACTGTGTCTCAGGAGGAGTAATCTGGCAATGGTGTCATAAACTATTGGAACTGGAAAAGTATTTTATGCAATGAGAGAACGCAGCAGTGTGACTAAGCGAAGGGTAATAATCAGAAAGCAATAACCTCTGTGAGCCGACTAAGTCTAGTAGCTAGAAAAGCCTGCTACGGGAAATTTACACAGGGAGTTCAGAATACAGGGCAACGCCCAGGGAAGTCTTTGCAGCCATCACTGTACCCAGAAGCAATGGGTTTTTCCGGAACACAAAGAGCCTCTTGAAGCCAGGAAGCTCAAGACTAATATCTTAGCAGAAATGTGAACAAACTTGGAGGCGAGGACATCACTGCTATATTGTTACCCACTAAACAGAAGTCAGGGGTGTTGTGTGTACGAATGTGAAAAACGCCAGATTGTTTTGTTAAATGATATAAGATCATTTGTGCTTCCTCTGTAATGTATAGAGGTCTGTGGCAGAACCTGATCAGAGAGCTCTCCTGGAGAATTATTTCCTGCTATTTCCTATAGTGCCTGCCTGCCTGTCTTTTTTTTTTTTTTTTTTTTTTAAGGCAGAGTCTCACTGTGTATCCCTGGCTGTCCTGGAACTTACACTGTAGGCCAGGCTGACCTCAAACTGACAGAGATCCTCCTGCCTCTGCCTCTGAGAACTGAGATTCAAGGTGCTGTGGCCAATCTGTTACATTTAAAGGTGATAAACACCTCACTGCTTTGGAACTGAGGTATTCCGAGGATACACGACTTCGGTGTTGAAAACCGAGTCAGGAGAGCGAAGACATAACTATCTTCGCGGTTTTGTGTGTATTTGCCGCTTTCCCAGGCAGAGTACCAACCCGGAGTGCAGGAACTTCCTGCGCCCTCCATGAAGGGTCTCTGTCCTAGTGTGGGTGTCAGAGAAGAAAAGGGTGGGTGTAGAAAAATACAGTGCTGGGTCTTAACGCACCTCAGCAAACGTGGACAACGCCCTTCTTTTACTAGCTTGGAACCCTACTTCTGAGGTTGTTCCCTTTTTATTACAATTTCCCGTCAGTTACGTGAGAGGCCCACACCTAGTGAGAAGCCCAGGACTTTGCACCTCTCCTGAGGAGGGAGAAAGCAGGCTGGGGAAAACTCTTGTAGGGGCCTTTGGTAGAGTGGGTGGAGTGTGCGCCTCGCCCACTGGTGAGCTCCCCTGTCAGTCATGTCAGGGCGGGGCATGTGCGCCCAGTCTGGCACAGGTGAACAGGAGAGCAGCCGGGGACTTCAGGGTGAGCCAGGCCAGAGGCTGCTGTCATTTAGCCAGTCAACCCAGACTTGTCCAGCGCCTTGCCACTTCCAGCCTGAGTTTGGGGAAGAAAATGAGCAAGACCATGTTGGAGAAGGTGGGACCTGCGCTGTGGTTGCTTTGCACAAGTGAGTAAGCCCCTCTCCCGCCAACTCCTGGGGGGATGCTGGCTGAAGGAGAGGCTGTTCTAGTGACCCTCGCCTCCCCTGGCCCCAGCCGTACTGTGTCCCACTGAGCAGAACTATACATTCTGATGTTGCGGGGATGGGGGGCAGTTTCCAGGCCTGTTCCAAGATCAAAATGATTCTTATCTCGATTAGTTGGTAAACAACCATCCCATTGCTGGAACAAGTAGCTCAAAGGGGCAGAAATATCTGATTGGGGAGACACAGTATTTGAAATCAGGGATTGTTCTAAAAAGTCCAGGATGTGGATTTAGATACAGTCACTATCTAGGGCAGAGGTCCTCAACCTTCCCAACGCTGCTCCCCTTCGCTATGGTTTAGATGCTCCCTATCCTGCTTACTCTGAGAACTGAAGTCTCAAGCAGAGAGGCGCCCGTCTCCCCCCAAATCAGCAATTTGTGGGTTAGCAGCTGAATCCACACTAAGTGATAAATAACAGAGTGGTTGTGTGGAGATGGGCGAGCTGGGTGAGACTTGGGTCGGACGTTCCAGCATCAGGAGGTCTAGGCACTGAAAGCAGCAGCCGGGGTGGAAGGTCGAGGGGAGGAGTTTAGTTTAGACCCCTTAGGCTAACGTGTTTGGTCGTCAGTTCTCAGCTCAGAAACTGTTGCTGGCTTCCAGGATCCAGGATCCAGGGGGAGGAAGTGAAAGCTGAAAGAGAAACCCAGGATCCCCCAGGAGCCTGGGAAGCAGAGCCCAGGGAGCTCTCTCTTCAGTACTTCCTGGCAAGCTAGGAATCACTGGGGCCACCACCCAGCAGAGTCCTTCCAGGTCTCCTGGCTTCCTTTCCTGTCTGTTTCTGAACCTTGGCTTTGGGGCGAAGGACAGTGTGCTAAGAAGGACGGATCAGATCAACGGTTTGAGGGGGAGTTAACCTAGTTGGTTCACGTTCTGTGTTCAAAATAGTTCTATCTTTCTGAGGCAGCTGGCCCCTTACCATCCACCCAGGTGGTGTAGCCACTCACCGATGATAATGATGAGGCCACTCATTGCCTCGTCTGCTCAACTCTTTTTTACTGGACACAGGATTCATGTAGGTGCCCTAGGAATGGACTCATAGCAGCCTGAATAGAGGATGTTTGCCTCAGGAAAATGAGGCTGAAAGGAAATGGCTACCCACCCCTCTGTGACTCGGGGATTCTCTGACACTCTCTTGAGCCATGGCTTTTCTCTGTACATGCACGCATGCGCACACACACACACACACACACACACACCCCAGTGTAAAACCCTGTGTTCTGTAACCAGGCACTAACCCATGTGTATATGAAGAGAAGTAATACTGGCTGAGGGGAAAACCAAAAACTGAGAACACTGTCTCTTGCCCAGCTTAGCAATGAGAAGAGTCCTGAATTCTGAACTACCTGGAGCAGACTGGTGGCCTCCTCCTGGAGTGTGCAGCATGTGACCCCTGGGTGAACCCAGCCAGCAGAACAAGTTCTGGGGGGGGGGGGTGTTTCCTGCACATTGATGAGGAGTATAGTCTATCCTTCCCCCCTTCCCCCTCTCTCCTGCCAGCTCAGCTCAGAATCGCATGCCCACCACATTTTTCTCCTCCACGACTCTACCTACTCAAAGAGGAAGGGTTGGCATGCTGGGGCAGAGGACACCAAACCCATGGAAAGTCTGCCAATGGCTGGAATAGTCATTGCCAATCCCTGGTACCACCCCAGATCAAACCAAAAAGCCATCAGGCAGTGCTCTCCCCTGGGCCACAAGGGAGGGCATCACTTCCTGCTTTGTGTGAGGGGAAGCCGAGGCAGGACTCACAGAGGGCCCCCTTCTTCCCTTCTCTCTCTCACTGTGCCCATCAGAGATTGTGTTGTTTGTTGTGAGAGGAGCACAGAGCTTATGAGGTAGCCCCAGGCTCACCAGACTTTGGGGAAGTGGAAGATATCACATAAGGTTATATGGAGGTGGTATAAGTTGGCACCCTAGAATTCTTTTTAGATTTGTTTTACTTTTATGTATATGAATATTTGCGTGCATGAATCTATATGTACCACTTACATGCCTGTTGGAACCCCTGGAATTGGGATTAAAGATGGCTGTGAGCCAGCAAGTGGGTGCTGGGAATCTAACTTGGGTCCTCTGCAAGAGCAGCAAGTGTTCTTAACTTCTGAGACCCAGAGGTTTGTTTTATGACTAAAGAGACTGAGGCAATGACTCAGTGGGTCAGAGTGCTTGCTGTGAAGGCAAGAGGATCTGAGTTCAAATCCTTAGCACCCACATAAAAAGTGTTGGGCTGGGTATGCATACCTGTAACTCCAGCATGGAGGAGTGGAGACAGGCAGATCCTGGAGCTTGATGGATAGCCAGCCTAGCTGAGACAGGGAGCTTCAGATTCAATGAGAAATCTTATCTCAAAAAAAGCCAAGTCAAGTGGTGGGAAAGACATTCAACATCCTCCTGTGGCCTCTGCATAGACATATACATCTGTGTATACACGTATGTTCACACACGCGCACATGCACAGAGAGGACTAAAATTGGCCCGCTTTCATTATCATGTGCTGAGATTCCTAAATAGAGTCACTGGCAAAATACAGCTTCCTGTCAGGCAGATGTCCATCCCCATCATAATGCTGTCACAACTGGGGACCTCTTTTGTCTGGCTGCAGCACGGGCAGCGCGGGCAAATTACTTCACCTTGTGAAATCTCAGCGTTGTGGTTTGTAAACCGCAGAGCTAATTTACAATGCATCAGAGGCCCACTGTACCTGCCGCACGGTTCACACCGGTAAAGGCCTTAGAACCAAGTTCTGCATGGAAGCACTCAAGGACGCTGCATTATTATTTTTGATATCATTTGAGAGAATAAATGCAGGAACCAGAAGTCAATGAGACACTAGTGACCCATCATCTAAGGGCTCTAAGCTGATCAAAATGAACTAAGAAATGACTCAGAAGTCAGTGTGGATGAGTCCTACGTTATCACCCAGACGGCCACTGTGTGCCTGACCTCCTCCCACCCAAGATGCTTAAAAAAAAAAATAAACCCTCCATTTTGTACACAAAATTGAGGCTCTTCCAGTTCAGCCCAGAAAGTTTTTCATCCACCAGATCCCCTAAAAGGTGAAAAGATATGTAAAGAGGGCTCCACCAGGTACACTCTAAAGGGAGAAGTGTGATCAGTCCTGTCAGGAGCCAGGACCTGACATTATACAAACACATGTACAGACACACACACAGTAACACACAAGATACACACACAGAAACAGACACACACTGACACACATAGACACATAGACACCCCCACACCAACACACACAGACTCCACATAGACACACAGGCACACACGCTGACAAACATACAGAAACACACTCAGATACACATACCACACATATAGACAGACAGACACACAAGACACACGCACAGACCACACAACTAGGCACACAAACACAGACACACACCTTCCTAGAAGTATAGGGAATTTCTTTGTTGCTTCTATGCTAAATTAGAACAATGCTATTTTTCATAGAGAAATAAAGGAACCTATCACTGCAAACCGTCATACCAGATGAGAAAGAATTCTCTCTCTCTTCTCTTCTCTTCTCTTCTCTTCTCTTCTCTTCTCTTCTCTTC